TGCCTGGTATTGGACTTTTCATTTAATCACCTATGACTTTTAGAACAACATTATCCACCCATGCAGGGTTCCTCCATTCAAACTCCTTTTTAAAATATAAGGGTTATATATTTTTAAATATTTTATTTATTATTTTTATTTTATGTATAAGAATGTATTGCCTGCATGTATGTGAGTGTACCCATGCCATGCAATGGTGCAGAGGTCAGAAGAAAGGTTCGAGTATCCCTGGAATTGGAGTTAAGGGCGGTTTGTAGCCTACATGTGGTTGCTGTTAATCGAAACCAGGTCCTCTGGAAAAGTAGTCAGTGCTCTTAAACACTAAGCCATCTCTCCAGTCCCATGGTTATACTTTTTATTCATTCTGTGCCTGTGTGTGTGTTTGTATTTCATACAGAACATCCCAAAGAATCTTAATCATCTTTATAACAGCATTCCAAAAGGCACCTTCCCATAGCTCTCTGCTTCCACCCTGGAGGCCATAAACTCTGTCATCCATGTCACTGCCCACTGTGTTGTCGGTGTCCTCAGCCATTCCCCCGTGCAAGTACATCCATTGAGTTTAGTAAGCCTACCTAGAGTCCCTTGTTTTAGGAAGATCAGCTCTAGCAGCTGATCTAGCAGCAATCAGTTGCCAACAACCTTTTAGATTGGGGTCTGTTGTTCATTTTCCCAGTCATATGCTTTGTTACTGTGTTCTCTGCTTGGACTTCTGTATGCTGACCCTTTTGCCATAAAATCATATAAGCATGTTCCCAGGAGCTCCTAGGACCCTGTTCCTATATGGTCATGCCCATCCTCCCTGGCTCTTACAATCTCTCTGCTCCCTCTTCCATGATGGTCCCTGAACCTTGCATGGGTGAAGTTTAATAAAGGAGTCCTGTCGAAGGACCATTATTTAGCAGAATCTTGATCTCTACAAATTGGCAATTTGTGACCTTTTGTGTTCCTGGCCCTCTAATATATGAAGGATCTTCATTATTGTAAACTGATTGCTTAGTGTCCTCTTCTTTATCCTTTATCCTTGTCCTATGTTCCATGAGCCTTGGGTGTACAGGTTCCATTGAAGTTGTGTCCTGTAGGCCTGAGCAACTGATAGACAATGTCCATGTGTGACAAATTGTGGTTCATAGTATTAGTCTCTGACAGCTTCAAAATGAGCTTCTTTGATGAGTGGTGACTTGGATAACTGTCTGTAAATATAAGGGTATATATTTTGCACATAGTAAGAAATCACATTAATCTAGGCATGTAAGAGTTTTGAGGTTTTTCTCTAAGATCTATGACCATGCTGGCCATGTATATTAGGTCATGTTACAGTACCACACTTGGGTTTGCTGCTTTTGAGAGGGCTTTTAGTCAAATTAGGTAGTTACTAATTGGCCCCAAGAAAAGAGTGACACTACTGCACCAATGGAGTATGCTGTGCTAGCCGTTGATATGATTATTTGGTCTTGAAGCTGGTGCTGGATCATCTGTTGATGTTTTTCCCTTGGTCCTTTCATAGTGTTGTCCAAAGCTATGAGAGCTCACCTCCAGGGGAAATGGCTTCTAGATCAGCTGCTGCTCTATTTCTGCAAATCCTGTGTTTCATGTATGTTTTGTCTTTGGCAATAGGGTCTTACCTTCAAGTTCTGGAAGGCCACCCAGGGCTGTGACAATAGCATGAGTAATTTTTGGAGTCTCTTGGACCACCCTGGCCAACAATTCAAAGGAGGTATCTCCTGTCTGGCATTGTTTCTTCTTATGTGTCCTTTAGCTATGCACAGGGATTCCTAAAGAAATATGCTGATCAAATTTAATCTTTGGTTATACTTTCCTTTTGGATATTTAGGACTATAGAGTTGGCCCAAATAAACCAATTTATTTTAAGGTTGCTTGAGGATTAGTTCCTCAGGGGTCACATCAACCAGTGAAGACACTGGCTCTTTTCTTTTACCACTTGCATCTATGTGAAGATAAGTCAAAGGTCCTGCTTGATCAGGGCTGGCTTCACTTGGAACCACGGAGGAAATATTTCCTCCGTGTTGACCCTCCTCTTTGTAGAGTGGACACTGGTTGAAGACCATCCTGTGGGGTTTCCATGGCCTCCCTGAACAAGAGGACAGGTGACTCAGCACAGATACAGGACATTTGGAGAGATGCTCCATAGTCCCTTGGAACTTAGGTGACCATGGGGTCAAGGAGGAAAAACTGTCCTTTAAGTACCTCTGACCAGATAGTATAGGATTCAAAGTATCTTCTTTCCCTCTCTTTGAAGCCTATGGTGGTCAATACTTCCTCAGGTATCATTGGTGCTTCTTACCAACCTCTCCATGTCTATGAGTATAGGACTCAAAGTACAGCTGTTAAACATCCAATAAGCTTACTTCTACGATGTGCTATGCAGATAAAGCTTGGGCAAAACCCAAACGTTCATAGATAAATCGGCCTAGACATGTATTATATTCCTTGAATTAGTTGTATGTATACTCTGTCAGTAGGTTGTTCGATTAACATGGTTCCCTCTGGTTTTCTAAAACTAGCTAGGCAGTATTTTCATTGTCCATTGTCTAACACTTCCACCATAGTTTCCCCATTTAAAGTGCCCCCATTTTCCCCATTTCTCCCTTGATAATACCCTTCTCCTATGGTCCCAACTTCGTTGAGCAGACAGACCTAAATCCAAGAAAGGAAGGCTTGAGCCTTACACAAGAATAAGAGACTACAAAAGAAATCCTCATGTCAAAGTTACAGTGAAAAAAAAAAAAATCACATAAAAAGCCCAAATGATATATCTGCACCAAGTACCAATGATCTTGTCAGGAGTACACTGAGAATGCTGTAGAAATAACACAGGTCATGGAATTCAACAGAAGAATTATACACATGTTAAAAAATTCAATGAATTTACAGAACACACAAACAAAGAAATTAAAGAACTGAAGGAAGATAGGAACAAACTTCTGATTAAATTTAGAAGAGTCAGAAATATTGAAGAATACTCGGGCTGAAATGAAGATAGAAGTGAAACACTCAATAAGTGTAAAAATTGACAGGAGAAAGCCTTACCAGGAGGATGAATGAAGTAGAAATGAGAATATCAAGATTAGAATATAAAGTGGGTGAATAAGACCACTCCAGGAAAGATTATGAAAAATTTAAGAAAACACAAGAATGAAATACACAGGGATTGCATGACACCATAAAAGTTCAAACTTACTCATCATAGGCATAGAGGATGGAGAAGAATCTCAGGATAATGGTATGGACCAAAACTTTACAGGAGTGTTGAAGAAAATTTCCCCAAATTAAAGAAAGGCATGCAGTTACAAATATAAGAAGCACATAGAACACCAAATAGACTGGACCAGTGAAAACACACCAATTACTTGAATGGATAAGGAGGCAAAACTCATCCTTTTGTTGTCTGCAAGAAACCCATCCCACTTTCAAGGACAGGCACTACGTTAAGGTGCAAAGATGGAAAAAATATTCCAAGCAAATGATACTTAGAAAAAAACATGAGTTGCAATTCTAATATTCACCAAACTCTGATGCACCCAACTTCATTAAAAAGAGCACTAGAGGACTTTAAGACTCAGGTTAATCCCAACTCATTAACAGTAGGGGGCTTCAATACCCCATTGTCTCCATTAGATAAGTCAACACACAGAGAATTAAGAGAGAGACACCTGAATTAAACAATACTATACATCAAATGGGCCTAACAGACACCTACCAAAGATTCCACCTAGGCACCAAAGAATATACTTTCTATTCAGCTCTACATGGAACTCTTTCCAAAATCGACCATATACTGGGGTACAAAAGAAGCCTCAACAAACACAAAAAATTGAAGTAATTCCATTCATTCTATCAGACCACAATGCAATAAAGCTTAAAATCAACAACAGAAGAAACACTGGTAACTACATGAACATATGGAGATTATACAACACACTCCTGAGTGATGAGTTGGTCAAAGGAGAAATTAAGAAAGAAATAAAAGTATTCCTGGAACTAGATGAAAAGGACAGTACAGCACAACAAAACCTCTGGGACACATTGAAAGCAGTCCTTAGAGGAAAGTTTATAGCTCTAAGTGCCTACATTAAAAAATCAGAAAGAACACAAATAAATGGCTTAACATTGCACCTCAGGACACTTGAAAAGCAACAACAAATGAAGACCAAACCCAGCAGACAAGAATAAATAACAAAAATCAGAGCAGAAATTAATGAAATAGAAACAAAGAAAACAATACAAATAATCAACAAATCCAAGAGCTGGTTCTTTGAAAAGACAAACAAGATTGACAGACCCTTAGCCCAGTTAACCAAAAG